AATAGCAGAAGGGAGAAGGAGGGAGGTCTAGTAGAGGCAGCATCTGAGAGCTGAAGGAGTCTGAAAGAGAGCGAGGTTTCTGCTTGACATTGAGGAGCCAGTAAGGGATGCTAAATTCTTAGATATTAGATCTTAATTCTGGAAAACATAGGATATTGCAAGGGACTTGAGGGTTGTGGCCAGCTGTTTATAAATCATCTTTTATATGAATTGAGGTAGTTTCTTGTATAATGATAGAAACGATACTTGGATGTTTGCAGCCTGAAGTGTGATATTGTTATATTTAACTTCAGTATCCATTGTAGCATTCACACATTTACTGTCTACAACACTGAAATCATGAAATGTGAGTAAAGGTTTCATTATATTATTGCATAATTGTTATTGATTCTACCCTTAATTAGTCTTTAAGAGGAATTTTCTTTTCTGACTATTTTCAGAGGCTAGAGAACCACTTGCCCATCTGAAATATGTAGATAATTTTAATCATCAGACATGGTTCCAGCTAAGTTCAATTGTATTTCATTCTGTAGATATTACTTTTGTCTATTTTTCATCAATTGGATGACCATCACCCATAGATTATGATTTTTGTATGTTAAGATAGTTTGGATTATAAAAATTTTAGTGGAAGTTAGAATTGGAATAAAGTTTGAATTCAAACATCTGACATTGTCATTTAAATTTCTGCCAGGGACAGCCAGATTAAATTTCCTATAATTTTTGTCATTATTTAAAGGGTTTTGGGAGGTCCTATTAAATTTAAAGTCAAGACACTAGGATTGTAGATATGGCTCAGTGGTAGAGTGACATCAGAAAAAGCAAAGTTAGCACTGTGGGGAAAAATAGTGTAATATTTTCTCATAAAATCTGTTCATTATCAATGTTAAAGCCTGCAATCCCAGTTTCTTGAGAGGCTGAGATAGGAGACTCATGGTTCAAGGTTGGCTCAGGCAGAAGTGCTAAGCCTGACCTGGAGAAACAAATATGGCTTAGAGCTATAGTTCAAGTGAAACAATGTTTGTCCTAGCATGCACAGGATCTGAGTCAAACTCTAGTATCTCCAAATATAAACAAACAAATAAAATAGATTATTTGTATTTTTGTTCAAATTGACATGGAGATATATGTAGCTTGAGGCATTGAACAAAAGTAGATATAAAAGCCCACTTATCTAGCACCAAAATTTTGATACAAAGACTAATTTGTATTTTCTTATATATTCTAAAGAAATAGACACATGGGAAATTAGTCAGTTGGTTTATCAACAAATTTTGGATGAATTTATAAAATAAATCCAAATGTTATATTTCTTATTTCCTGAAAAATAATACTGTCACATATTTGACTTAATTCAGTTAATTTCTGTAGAAGCCTAGTAGTTTATCTGAATGTAGTCCTTCATCTGAATTCTATTCATTTCAACCAGTGTTTATGCTTTCTCTCTGTGTGAAGGAATTACAAAGAACGGCAAAACTTAAAGGACTAGCTATACGCAATGCTTGATATTTTTATTTATATAAAACAGGCAAAAATACGAAGACAAAAATTTTAATTCAAATACTTTCTTTAGTAATTTTACCCATGTTAAATATTAATCTTTCTCATCTACAGACAAAATAAGTTCTAGACAGATCAACTTTTTCTCAATCTCCTCCCACAAATTGGAATACTAAATATGAACACAATGTGTCTATGTCTGATGGAGAATGCTCAGCAGTATCATAAACTGAATGAAAGGTTAGGAAGGAAAGGAGGAAACCCTGGAAACAAGAGGGAAGAAGAATGGATTGTTTCCCTGTTACTAATGGAGTCCGACTGGAGCTCAAGCAATGGGTGAAAGATTGTGATCCTACTAAAGTGAGTGCAGAGTAAGTGACTTTATTTCTTCCTGTGTTACTTTATTGGCATTTTCTGAATGAATATGTCTGTTGAATTTCAGAATATTCAAAATGAATAACAATAACAAAAATATATTTTAGAGACATGGAAATCTAAGAATAACTAATAGACAGGGTAAATACCATGTACATTGAGTAGTGACTTTACAAAATAATGTCTGAAATGATCTTTGGTTTTCAAGTATGCATAGAATTGAAACATCTGGAAAGCACAATATTGTAAGAGCAGTCATTTGAATTCAAGAAGCTCTCAGTTTTACTATGATTGGAGAATGTTAGATTACATGTGACTACCTTGTGACTTCATAAAAAGGTAGAAAACAGAGGGCAGAGAAATGGGTGTAGACTTGAAGGGATGGATGGGGATGGAAGAAATATGATCCATGGATCCAGATGTATTGCACGTAGAAACTGATATGTTGAACTGAAAACTCCTTTTAACAACTACTTAAAGATAAAAAATGAAAGAAGAAGAAAGTGTGTACAAGTATGCTCACCGGATGTCATCAGAAGGGTCTAATTGATTCTGAACTAGATTCATGAGGCAAAATACATCTCACTTACCCAGACTGTGGTTTTGAGTTATAACAACAGCATAAGGGCTAAGACACCACCACAAGTGGGAGTGATTCCTCCAGAAAACTAGTGGGTAATAATGAGTGCTAGGTAGTTTTATTACATGAAAACTCCCATAATAAAGTATTTTCTAACTATCTCACCAAAAATTGCAATGCCGCTGCTATTACTTCTCATTTAAGTAACTGAGAGGGGAATCAGTAAGGTGGTCGATTAAAGATACCCAGTATATTTCTGTGTCCCTGTGAATCAGAAACCAAAGCCCAAGTGTGTGGCTACAAGTGGAGTTTGGAAAGGACAGGGAACGTCACCAATAAAGAGGAAACAGATACCAGGTGAAATCGAGTAACATCAAACATCAAATATATACAAGAAAGAGAAGACACCAATGTAGATCCCTAGCAAAATGGTTACCACCAGAGGAAAACTTCATTCTAAGGAAACTCATGCACACAAACTGGAATTTTGCATGAATAAAGTTTAAGAATGAAGATCTGCAGATGCATAGCAAGCAAGTACCAAGTACCAAGAAGGGGTATAACACAGTAGAGTGAAGTCTACTTAAGGAAGGGATTCAAGACACTATTCTCAGTCTAGAAGAGATTTTACACACACAGACACACACATACACACACACACACACACACATTTTGGGAACCTGCATGTTATTTTCCAAGCTGTCTGTACTAGTTGCCATTCCCAGCAGCATGTGACTTCTCTGCGGTCATGGTGATCAGGGAGTTGCTTGCCTGGGCGATACTATCTCATCGTAGCCTGCATTTGCAATTCCCCGACAACTAGTGGGGCTGAGCATCTCTTTTTGAAAGGTAGTCTAGCACAGTGATATAATGGGCTTGATCATTAGGTTCACTGAATCTTTCTTCAGTGTCTACATACAACAGAACCTATCATTGCACTCATAACTAGCCATATGATTGTTTGTCTTAAAAGCAAATAAACAAAGCAAAATAAACAAAGCAAAATAAACAAAGCAAAATAAACAAAGCAAATAATAATAAAAACAAACAAAGCAAAGCGAAATAAACCCTCTAATGTTGATCTTTTCCTGGTTTCCTGGTTCTTGTCAACATATAGAGAACAGTAAGTGGATCGTAATGAATATTCACCAATAAGCAGAGTATTGTTTTATTTTACTAGTAAACATTAGGGAAACTTAAGGAAAATTTCTTTAAATTCATGCATTCCCATTTATCTTTTCTTTCATGTATAATTATGACCAATTAATACACTTACTTATCTCATTCTCTACATGTCTAACTGAACCACCCACCCAATAGCTTGTTGATACAGATTTGCAGATCCAGGTTTCATGAGGAACAAATTTAATTACAGTACTTGAGATTTAATTAATACAAGTATACATATTCACATAATATATTGTACTATCTGTAATTTGAGAAGAAAAACACCAGAGGGTCCTGAGAGTTGGTTAATTTATCATCCTCACCGGATATCAGTACGTCTGTTTGAATGTCTGGCTACCCTTTAATAATACTCCTTTTAATATTTTATATCTTACTCCCCTGTCAATAAACAAAAACCCCTGGATTTCAAACCAATAAATTCATTAGAATAAAATTTGAGTTTTTAACACAAGCAAGATTACAGTAGAGTCATCAACATAATCATGTTCATTGCAGCACTATTCACTCATAGCCAAGATATGGAATCAGCCCAGATGCTCCTCCATGGACGAATGGATCGAGAAAATGTGGTATATATACACAATGGAATTTTAATCATCTATTAGAAAGCATGACTCTGTACTATTTGTAAGGAAATGGAAAGACCTGAAAAAATTATATTATCTGAAGCCAGACTTAAACAAAGTCTACATGTTTTCCCTCATTTGTGGTAGTCATAGATAGTACTATAAATCCATAAGAAAACACAGTGGGTAGTATGTAAGAGGTTAGAAGTGAATTAACTGAAGTATAATAGACTCTATGAAGAGCTCAAATATTATAACCTTCTAAAAAACCCAACAAAATCAGTACAAGGAAATGGATACATGAAAGGGAGAAGAGACAAGATGAAGGGGGTAGACTAATAAGGGGTGACCGGGATGGATGCAGTCAAAAATTCATCCTATATGCCACACAAGAAAAATAGGTGAGTCAAAAGGGGTTGAGAATGTTGAAGGAGGTGGCACTGATCAAGAGGCATTGTATTAACGAATTCCTTTGTTCCATGGCGCCCCCTTCAGACAACTACTGAAATATTAAAAAAACTAAAAGCTAAGATTTTTTTACCCCTAGAATTGGGAAGAAATTATGACAACACAAGTTCCATTTCCAATACACAGGTAAGACTTTATTTTGAATTAGTACACCAATTACAGAGGTCTTCAAATAGTCTGTCACTCAGTATTTGAAATAGGGAAGGCAAGAAATTGGTAGAGAGAAAAATGAGAGGGTTATTCTTCCTGTACTTGATGAACACGAGAAGATTGGGAATAGAGGCACTGATGGCATAGCTAGGAAGTGTAGACATCTCAGATGCTCAACAGAAGCCAGACCCGGATCCGCAGGATGGTCTGTAGCATGAGGACTGGCAGGGCCTAGAAGGCAAGTAGGCTGGGCGGCAGAATCCAGACCCATAGCCCTGGGAAGCGATGATCTGAGGTCTGAAGCCACTGGATCCACAGCTCAGGACCTGAGAACTTCCAGATGCGTAGCCCTGAGAGTGGCAGCTGCTGGACCCAAAGCCCAGAGAGCCAGTAAAAGTCGACTGGCCCGGGCTATAGCAGGTGGAGACGCTTGGGCGGTGGCAGGATGTGTGGCAAGGCCTGGAAGCCACGTAGGACGTCTGGCATCTGGTGGGCTGGTGGAAGGTCTCCTGACAGGCTCCTTGGAGAGAGGAGGCCTGGAGGCAGGGCCGGGGAGAGCAGACACTAGTGCTGTGGAACAGGTTGCTTTGGAGGGAGGATCCATAGGAGCCTCCTGAATACTGCAGGTGGTCCCCAACATTGCTGGAGGAGAAGGTCCCAGGGCAGCAGCTGTAAGACATGTTGATAGGATCTGTGAGTGCAGCTGAGAGTAACCGAGAAGCTTCTGGATTTGAATATCCTACCTGGACAGGGTCACGGTATATATACTCTCAGGTATGGGCGTGGCACCTGAGCAGGGCACCTTTTCCATATTTGGACTTCCTCATTTGCTTCTGTGCAATTCAGCCGTCTTCTGTCTTCTTTGTAATTGCAGTTAACCGGTCCTTTCATCTTCTAGTTATTGGTTGAACTCGTTTTGTTTTTATGGCCGAGTCAATGAAATACATGTATCTCGCAAATGCTATGACTGTATTTAATTAATGCCTAGCCCATCGTGGCCAGGAAAGCCCCCTCATTTTCTCTGGCTGTGACTTGCCTATTTGTTCCTGGTTCGGCAGAGGAAGTGTTTCTTCTTAGCGTGGGAATGGCAAAGCCATTCTCTTTCTTTTTAGTCTGTAGCTGCGTGGCAGAAATCTAGTGCTGGTTAGAAATCATGTTAGGCTATCGCCCAAACCATCAGTTCACCCTTTCAAATACCATTTTCTGTCATTTGGCTTTGTAATTATGCCTTTCATGTTCAATGAACAGGAACCACATAAAAACAAGTCAAAGGAATCAAGAGATGACAGAAATGGGCATATGTAGGGAAATAAAGGATATTTAGAAAAACAAAATCAACACAAAAATACTAAGAGACCATGGCGGAGCCATGCTCGGTTACCATGATTGATTGGCATGATGTGGGATCCAGTGGGAACAGCAACAGAGAGAAAGGGTTGTTGGGATTTTTCTCATACCAACAATGTATGAATGGATGCCATTGTTCTAGTTCAATCACTGGAACTGTTTAAACACTGACTCAGTTCATGGCTTTCATATCATTGTCCTGGGATCTTCTATATCCTTCAGATATCTTTAATGTTTGTTTCAAAATTTTGGCTGCCTTCAGAGAAAGTGGTTGTTAGTCCAGCCTCTGTCGATGGAATTTTTGTTGTTGTTTTAGCATCTTCTTGAGGTACATAAATCCAGCTTTCTTGTGAGAGAATAGATCCAGATGTTGTGAATCATGAAGATTCTGGGAATTTGTTTTAGGACAAGTAAGGTAACATCATATATAATAGTAAATACATCACAGGATATAAAATACACTTTATTTGGTAAACATAATAATGTTTACATCATAGTAAATGAAATACATTTATTTTATTTAAAATGACAAAAAAATAAAGTAAAAGTTCCAAAGTTTGAAAAGCCCACAAATATTACCAAGAAATAAGATGTCATCATCTATCAATTTTCCCAGTATTTTATTTCAGTGTATCTGATCATTTTGTGACAATTATTTTGTCAACAAAATATTATTATAGCAATTATTCTCTCAAAATAGCATTTATTCCCCTCAAGAATTTCTTCTTTTTTCCTTTTTCTTTAAAAAAATTTTTTTTATTGTAAAGATACTGGGTTACAGTTACATGAGTAAGGAAGGTAATAAGTACATTTCTTTACCCTCTCCTTTGTTTTTCCCCTACCATCCCTCCTCTCCCCACCTTTCCAACACCTCCCTCTCCCACAAAAGTTGAAAAGTTCCTTTTCAACCTAGTGTCTTGTACATTTCATTGTTACTTCAGCTTTTGGTTATTGGTCAGACGTGGGGCTTGAACTCTGGGCCTGGGCAGAGTTCTCTTCAACTCAAGACAAGTGTTCTACCACTTGAGCCACAGTACCACTCCCTGTTTCTGGCGGTTAATTAGAAATAAGAATCTCAGGAACTTTCCTGCCTGGGTTGGCTTTGAACTGTGATCCTCAGATCTCACCCTCTTAAGAAGCTAGGTTTACAGGCGTGAGCCACTGGTGCCTGGCTTCCCCTAGAACTTCTATATTAAAAATGAACAAATTGTGTTTGATGCCACAGAAAATTTCTTTCAGTTTCACCATTTGTTGATAGTTTTGTCACATCTGTTGGGACCCCATTCATTTCTTCAACCCTGAGCTTATGTACACCTCAGCCAGATGTGTCCTATTTACCACTTACCTCACCGAGGTGTGAGCTGCAAGGGCCATTTGTGAGGGAATCATATGTAAATCGCTGTTGGCCCTGGATTTGGTGGGTGTAGTATGGAAGTTACTGATACCAACAAAAACATTTTGTCAGACTCTAGCAAAAGCGGAATGGAAAAAGTGCTCATATCTGCCCATAGGAGATAAATGCTGTTTCAAAGAGTGTCTAAAACCCCAGGAGACATTCCTTCTTTTATGTACGTACTATGGTGTTCATGTGAACGGATTTCTGTAAGTTTATCTCTTTAAAATTATTTTTGTCTTTTAATTTTATTTCTCATTTATTTCTGTGTATGTGGTGCTGAGGAATCGAACCCAGGGCTTCACACACGCAAGACAAGCGCTCTGCCAGTAAGCCACTCTCCCAGCACTTTAGCATTCTTTAAGGCTGAAACAGTGCAGCCATTTAGGATGTTTTGGATAGAATACCTGCCCAGCAACACCGCCTCCACTACTGAGCTGACACCCTCCCTCCTGTCTCCTTGGGTCTCCCACACCATGTAGGGGTAGCTTGTGTCAATGTCTTTTCAATCCAAGTAGTCCATGTACATTTTGTCCCATAGTCTACTTCTTTGACTATGCACATAGTTTCCTTCCCCATTATTCCCAAATAAATATTATCCTTCTTTGGAGAATAATTCTGACTGTAATTTACATTGACAATATCGCCTTACAGGTAAGGAGGTAAACACTGTCTTGGTGCTAATGTTTCTAGGTTGATGCCAGGGAATATAAGTGTTGAGTAATGATACCGCTGCCCTATCAGGTAGGAGATGGTCCCTTATCCTTACTTCACTCACTTAATTCTGTTGCTAAGATACCTAGCCTCCTAATATGTCTGCTGTGCACTCATGATGGTCTCCCCACCCCATCAAGGACCCTTAGGTCTAAGACCTTTGTTAGGATACCTTTCTTGGAAATGTCTTATTTACTTTAGTAATTTTACTTTACTTTTAGTAATTCCCTCACTGTAAAAGTTTGCAGTCCTTCCTGTTGCTTGTCTTTGTGTCTCTTTGATACCAACTTGAAAGTCATACTACAAATAAAACCTTATTTTTCTGAAAATTCAAGACAAATTTGTGGTTGGACTATAAATATGTGATATTAGGGACCCCCAAAAATAATGTCAAGGTTACACTGCTTAATTACAACTCTACTCAATAAAGTGTGTGGAGATGCTCACATTTTGAATGTTTCTGTATTTAAAAGCATGCTTAATTGGTATTTCTTTTAAATAAGCATCCCCTGTCTATTAGGTCCACAACTGGAATTACTAACCTGCTCCATTTTGTAAAAAATTGCATTTTGCATGTCAGGAAAGCTGGCTTTGTTTTTGTTATTGTTTTTACAAAAACTGTTCTTCTGCACTCAGGCAGGACCCTACTTGTATCTGTTTTGTCAACTTAGTCTAGAAAGGATTGTACAAGCTGCCAAACAACCACCTTGGGAAAAACAAACAAACAACAACAACAACAAATCCAGAAACAGACCTCCCCCAATAGCTTCCTAGAACAACCAGCTGAACAAAATGTCAGCAGGAAATTTCCTTTAAATCTTATGTAAACCTCAATCCTAGCCCTGCTCAGAACCAACACTGCTTTGGTGTCTGCCCTTTTGCTCTCTTGGAGCATGACCTGCTACTTCCTTGTTTGCCACTCTGACTCTTGGTGAAATCTTTCCTACCCTGTGTACCAGCTAAAACCTCCTGACCTAACAGATCACAGTATTTGAATAAACCAAAGGAATGATACAATCATTGCACACAGATCAATCTGCTTCTTTTTAAAAGTCTAACTTGCAAACTTCTGATCATCTGAATTTCTAGATTTCCTACTGTGGGTATAGATCTCTCATATAAATGACTTAGCCAAGGTGATCCTTTCTCAGATGTCCATTTGTTGAGGAATTTTTGACAATAGCTTCCAATCACAGCAAAGGGTGGCATCTTTGTTCACTGGAGGCAAGCCCAATGTTAACCAAAATAATAAAGTCAGCAAGTGTGTGTTCCATTAAACCATGTTCTGGCTGGTTTCCCAGGCAGGAAATGGTGCCCTTTCCTTCCCTTTACATGCCCAGCCCACCGCTAGTCAGTGTGAAAATGTAAAATCATGTCCTACCAACTCTCTAATCTATCTAATTATCCTTTATCTAATTCAACTCACACTGGGTTGCTCAATCTCATGTGCAGGTCACAGAGACTTTCTATCCAACTGTAAATGAGTTGCCAATATCTTCTTTGTAAAAAAGAATTGACACTTCCAGTCACTTAAAACATTCTGAATGTCGTCTCAAGCTCACATTTGCCTGGAACTGAGCACAAACTGCTCAGCTCACATGGGTGTGTCCCGTAACTCTCAACCAGTTCAAGCCTCCCAGCTCCAAAGCCAAAGCTGAAGCACCATTACTCACCCAACTCGTTCTATTATTTTGTTATGTTCGTTAATGTCTAGCTCTAGTGGGAAAATGTAGACAAATTAAGGAGCTTTGGGTTTTAAGAAAATTCATGGGAATAAAATAAATACTCCAATGAACACTGAAAGGGTATTTTTCCATGTACAATTGAAAAGTTCAGTGTATTTGTGTTGGTGGGTTTGCATATAAAATGTCAACCACAGAACCAATTATTTGGCCATCCTTATCTTGTGATCCTCTTGGACCATGGGATGATTTGAAGTTTGAGCCTTTTACTTACAATGCTTCATAAATCAGCAGAACTTGAAATGGATTTGTATGCCAGATTTAAATGCAAGAATCTCTGGTGCTTTTACTACAGAATATGTAACAGAATTAAGCATGGGTCATTTTAGGACATATATACAAACAAGCAAAGTGTTAAAATGATCAGTTTACAAATAGGAATACAGGTGGACACATTGCAACAATGAGATGTAGAAGATGTTATGTTGAAAATGAACTTTACAACTTTGGCTTGGGAGGGGGATGAGGGGGTGAAATGGGAAGG